TTCTGAATATTGTTGCACATATATTTATTCTAGATGCGTGTCAATTATGATATTATTATAATTACATTGAGTGCAAATTGCACAAATGTATGTTAAATTATACAAATTTAATTATGTAAATTTAAAGAGTCTTTTCTAAATATGATTATTTCGCATAGCGTTAATACTTTAATACGGCTTCATTAATGCTTCGCGTTATACTGTCAATATAGGCTAACTATCGCCTGATGGTGCCATCCCTAAGAACGTTAAACCGCCCTCCTATGTTACGTTGTACACTAACTAGTTACTTCCAGGTCGAAGTTAATATCAGACTAGCATAAGATCAGGAACTTGTAGCTACGCCGGTAACGTTCCTTCCGCTCGTCAGATTATTCGATTGTACGCATATCGAGAGCGATGAGCCGTTCCCCATTAAGATGAATTCACGCGCAAGAACTTGCTAGGTTTAGCACACACCTGGATTTGTCATAAGTTATATGTCGGCATAATATATCATGACGTCCATAATATGTCAAATTAAATCGTGAATTCTCCAAATTTATTATCTTTTAAAACAAATGGAAAATTTAATATTACTGCGTTTATGAACGCTTATGAATTCGTATTTCTACTAACTGTTATACGAACTAAACCTCATAAATGAGACTGTGCTAGTTTCTAAAGTTTCATAATATATACGGCAGTGAAAATGAATTTTGATGTAACAGGCTTCTAGAGTTCCTTAAAAAAAAAAGAAATATTATATAATAATTTATTAACATTTCATGAATGTTGTTCGAAAATGCTTTTTTTTGAAGTTATTACGAGGTATTTCAAGATTTTGAAATTGTAACAAAATATTTTGTATAAGAATTGCAATAGCTTTTTGATCAATGGCTCATCGTACTTGTTAATTGTTTTAGCAACAATAATTAAAAAATTCCTGCATAAATAATCATCTCAGTTGCAAAGCGGAATAATTACGATGCGGCACGATAATATTTTCACAAACGATTTGTATCAATATACAAAAATAATGATCATACATTATTAAATATTATATTTATTACGTAAATATGTTAACAAATTAAAAGATTATTAAATTAATTGATCTCATAAATGGGGATATTATTTTATCATGTATGATATTACCTTGTTAGTCGTCATAATTCTAATGAAAATATGATGTCGATGTACATTTAATACACTTTTAATTCATACATTTCACAAAATATTTCGTCCATCTAGAAAGTCCAATACGCGCTTTGGATATGGAAAGCCGCAGCTCGAAGCATTTCGGAAGCAGACGATCGATCTCGCGTCACTGTTACCAGAATCGCTCGTTTCCTTGTACATCCTGTTCCCGAAAGACACATCCCGCGAATACCTCGTTCTTATGCACGGTGAGCGATACGAGATACATTCTTCCTGATCCGATATGTTGATCCCGAGAAAAACGAAGACAATCGAAACGAATCGTGGGATTATATTGCTACAGTTGTATACGTATAAAGTTACGCGGGAAAAAGTATTTATGATTCATAATTTGTAATTCTCTGTTTTCACACAGAGAAGGTGATTAAACGGAGAAATCCATTATCAAATAAAAATACCTATAATTATCGTAAAGCTTTCCCACTTTATTCGTACGTATTTTCGACGTCCTATATTATTGCAAAGTAATTTCTAGCAATGCTCTACAAATTGGAAATTTTAACGAGAGGCAAAGTTTGAAGCAAAGATATTTAAAGTCACTTAGAAGATTTCCAAGTTGGCTTTTTAGCGGCGATGATCGACGATGCGCGTGATTGTTCGGATGAAGTGAAATCGGAAACGTGAGCGCCGATCTCGCTCTACCCCGGATCGACCGAAAAGCGTATTAAATGCCACTTTCCAGGAGTGCTTACTAACGACCACGCATATTTGTCGGATTCGTAGTTTGATGAATGGAAACTGTGCTCTCTATCTAAACCAGAGTTAAATGCGCACGTTGAACACTCTGGAGCAACCGAGCCGCGCACGTTGCGTTTATTATCGCGATTGAGAGTAAAGTTCGTGAAGACGGTCCCGAGTGAATTACTGTACCGAGTTTCAAACTAATATTGTGGACGTGCGTATAGAGATAACTCGATTATTTTTATTCCGATCCTTACTAAAAAAAAGTTGACTAACCTGCTTCCCTGGTAAAGAGAATAAAGAAGAATTAAATCGAGCGTGTTGTATTAATAATCAATTGCGACATAATTAGATGCCTACCTGTTTCCGATAATAAATGCGAATTAATAGATGTAATAGATGAAGCCAATAATAGAATACGATACAATATTAATTTCATGATAATGAATTGCGAATGCAATATCACGCACGGTCTGATCTAATTGGATTATGTATTTAGCAAAAGTAAGCACGCGTGATGGAAGTTAAGCACTGCGTTTCGCTCGAGGCAAAAACGGACTATTATGAGCACGTAACTTAGGTAGTAACCTCTCGTGTACGCGGCATACAGAGTGAGCAATATTAATCTCTTTCAAATTACATTCATACCATACAACTATAATTGCAATATAAGTAATAAGTAATAAGCTGAATACTTGTCAATCACATTTTAGAATTCATTTTGCAGAGAAAGAGAGAGAACAGTTGATAATAATATATATTATAATTAAAAAATTTAACTTGTTTTTATCTGACACCTTTCTGATAAAATTAGATATATTATCGTTGAGAATAGAAAAGAGAACATTCTATATTTGCAAAATAAGAAAATATATTGTATTAAATATTTTAAAAAAAGTTCCAAGTAAATTTGTACGTATTTTCTTTAGCTTAGGAGAAACTGACAGAGAATTGACAGGCGACGTTAAGATAGACATATCCGAGAACAAATTCTACCCGAATGTACACCAATCAATGTTGGTTTACTGCCAACGCCACACGTTCCTGATCACGATTACAATAGAGATGCAAAATGATAAAGATGTATTAACTCTTACTATATTTCGCAAAGATATGTCTTATTAAAAAATTTTAATCATTAGAAAACGCACAAGTTATAATAATGCTTTTAACACATAATCTTTTGATTTATGATCATTAGATTTTATAAAATGCATGTAAAAGTAATTCTCGTTGAGAGTAATACATGTAAATCTCGGAATTTAATATAAGTAAAATGAAAATATTATAATTTATATTTCATAATTTGTAAAGGTCGTTTAATTTGTGTATGATCGCCTAATAGACTGGTCGAGTAATTAAGAGAAAACTTAAATATTTGAAGAACTTTCTTTTGCACACAAATTGCATATAGATTGTGTTCTTTGAGAAAAACGCGCTTCAACACTTCTGGAACGTTTACTGTGTTACAAACTATAAAAGTTGAATTTCTAATCATTAAGTCAACAATGTTTGTATGTCGACAAACACTAATTAAACGATTCTTGTGTCCAACAATACAAATAAATATGTCTCTTGAAAATAGAAGACTGAAATGTAACTGGTATAATTCACAGAAATGTTTACCAATGCGAAAGTTCTTTCAATCCTGCATATATTTACAAAGACCCGTTTATATTATTTTCAATAATTAGACAAGCCCTGAAAATATTTGACAAGTAGAAAAAAAAAAAAACAAATTTAATGTCCTATAATATACTGTATCGAACGTAAATGTTTAGATGCGTCAAGAAGACTTCAAGGTTTTATTGCTTGATTCGATATTGCGGTCAAATTCTCCTCTGGATTCTGTTACACGCGTTATCTCCTGGAAGGTATATTGATTAATACAAAACACATTGTCGAAAGTTTTCGCTTTCAGACAAGTTACTAACACAATACCGATATCGAAGTTTCCCTTACGTGGGCGATGCCCGACAAATCTCCTCGGGTTCCTTCAATCTTTCGCGACGAGATGCGCGTTCTCCCTTCCTCCACGGCGAGAGGATCCAGAGAAGGAGACCGTCTTTCGTAACCCGAGTCAGCCACCCCGCCTCGAACCGAGCCGGGCTCTCCAGGAAAGCTCAGGGCGATTACATCGAATTCTTTTCCCCGGAGTAGACCACCCACTCGCCCTATCGGTCTCTCTATCTCGTCACACGCTTTTCTCCCTCTGTCGTCGTTCCAATCCACCCTGGTTTCCTCCCTCTGATTCCAGCTACCTCCCCCCTGATCCTTCGACACACGCAGCCCCTGTTCGAGTGTTTACTCGCGTGCTCGAGTTCTGTCAGTATCACACGCCGTCCGCCAAACAAATCGATCCCTCCTCACCAGTTCGCGCGAACGGGACTTTCGGATGCGCGAGACATCACGTTTGACCGATTTTCTGTCGGCTCGGAACAATCGCGAGCTGGACGTCGAAGACGTCGTCGCGTCGAATGTCGCTATGCAACTGCAAATTTTGCAGCGCGTGGACAAACGGGAGGGGGAGTTTTATATCATATTACAATAGCAATTTCGATCATATGGTATCATATGTATAGGGAGCGGCTGAATTTCATTACATTGAAAAGAATCGAGTTTCGAATCGCGTTTATAATAAACATATGTAGCAGGCAAGCGATACGACCATTGAATTTATGTTTGTTAAAAAATTCTCTCCTTGATGTTTCTTCTTCAATATTTACAAGAGAAGAGTCCGAGAAACAATTTTGTATTTCCGAGATGAAGATGCCCGGAAACGATATAAATGGATCTCTAATAGGTCTTCCACCCTTCTACGGTGTAATTATATCAAAGCGTGTTCCCGAGCTTCTATCTCTAGCTCCGCAACACGCTCCATTATCACGCGGAAATCCTGAATCCGTAATAGGATTTGAATTGATCGCACATCTACGATATGCAGCCTAACAATCCGCCGTTCTGTACTCGGCCTGAGGGAGAAACGCGGAAGGGCAAACAAAGGCGAGCACGCTCGCTCGCGCGCGGCCAGCTGCGCGCATCGGAGGGATGAAAACCGGGGGATCGCGCTCGCGGGCGGTCGCTGCGCCTTTGACCGCCGTTGACCGCGTCGTGTTACTTACATGTCCAAGGATCGGCCACGTTGAACGCCTCACTTAGGTGTACCAAGAGGAGGGCTGGTCCCGACCGAGTATACGTCGGTGCACGCGTGTTCTGCCTGTGATGAGCGCGCACGCACGCACGTACGCGGGCACGCATTCACGCACGCACGCACGCAGTTTCCAGTCGTCGTAGCAGTTTCTGATCTTTCCTTCCCGCGAATCACTGCGCACACAATTTCCCGTCACCGTCGTCGCTTCTCGCCCCGAACACTGTCGTCATCGTCATCGTCGTCGTCGTCGTCATCATCATCATCATCATCATCGTCGTCGTCGTCGTCGTCGTTGTCCACGTCGATCGCATGGGACATTGTCGTCTTCTCGCGTGGCACTGATCCAGCAGCGCGGCTTTGTCACAAACACGACTCTTCTCACCGTTGACAATCGCGTAGCATAACGCGTGTATAAAGTATCTCTCGCACGATTAAACGACGAGCGAGCGAGCGTGATCCGCGTCGCAAAAACCCGAGAGAGAAGCCCTTCTACATACCCGGACAAATACCCCGGGTAATACCTCTCTTTTTTGCTTGACCGGCCGGTTGGCTACCGGACCGGAAAGGAACGAAGGGCGAGGGCAGGTTGAACGAGGAGGATCTGTTTGAGATGCTGCGGGCGCGAATTTTCGGGGTGAAAAAGGAAATACTATATATACTTGTATATATATATATATATATATGTACGCTCGCGCACGACGACAGCGAGCTGTATATTTGGTCGTGCGCGACGAGCGACACGGCTCTTCGCAGACGTTGGCGAGCATCTGCACGAGCTCTGTCGGCCAGGGATACGCGAACGTACGTACGTACGAACGAAACGAACGAACGAACGAACGAACGCAGCAGTGGTAGAACGGACCGTACGGGGCGGCCAAAACGCGTCGGAGGAAGGAGTAGGAGCGAATATAGGATGCGGCGGCGGAGAAGGTGATGGCGGCGGTGAACAAGGGGATGACGTGGGGCAAAGAGTGAGCGTAGCCCGGTGGTCTCGCGCGCGCTCCCTCGCTCTGGCTCGTTCGGCTGCCGCCAGGCTGGCTCGTTTTCGCTCACCCCTGCTTGCGCAGCATCCGCGCCGCCGCCACTACCACCATCCCTCTATCCACCTCCACTGCCACCTCCGCCGCCGCCACCCGCCACCGTTGTCGCGACCCGGCCAAACCCAGACCCGGCGCGGCGTAGAGGTACCGCGGGCTCGCGACTCCCGAGCTCCAGGCCGCCCCAGCTGCTCGCGCCCCCACCATTCGCGCGAACATCCCCTTCCGGATCCCAGTGCCGTACACGGACGTCGCGGCCGCCCCGTGGCTATCTCGGACGAAGGCGCGAATCGACGAATTGATCCGGTAATGAGCCGCTCTTCGTGGGTGGGACGATGTGCTCTCGTCGCGTCGCGGCCGACGACGACGAAGAATCGGAATTATGTGGATGCGCCGGGCTTAATTACGAGCTATATATTCGAGTCGACGGCCGGTTGTATGTAATAGACCCGGCCGTAATATTCCTCGCGGGATCCCCCTTTCACGAGACGAAGCGAGAGCTCTGGACGCAGCCGAGGGTATTGACGAATCAAGGGGCGCCGGCTGAAGATCGAGAGACGCGCGATCTCACTCTCTCGAGTCTTGGGACCTCGCACATACCTTTCCGAATGCCTCTTAATCTCGAATACGATGATAAATGATGCGATCCCCGCAGGGAATTGGGTGTAGGTTAAGCTTAAAGGAAGCGTGTCTCGCTCACACAAATCGAATACATTGACAAATTAAGGGTTGCGGATTAAGACATATACGAGAGCATTACGCATTTCTTGGAATTTCCGTTCGCTCATTCAGTTCAAATAAGAGGAGAAAAATGTTTGCAATGTCTATGAGAGAAAGAGAGAGAGAGAGAGGAATCCGCGGTTGATTTCGAGAGAAGCGTGCCACGCTCTCGGAGAAGGTCTCATATTAAGCCGGATGGTATCTGGGGGTAGGTAACTGGATAAGAGCGGATAAAATCGGATAGAAATCCCATCGGAATATATTTGGATCCATCCGGATTTCTCCCGATACCATAAGTTCCTATACGGAATTTTTCGGCAATCCGGTGGGTGGATAGGAGCAAGGAGGGTAAAATCCTGGGCTGAGAGAGCCTAAGCGAGACCGGCGACGCCGATGAACTTCGCGGGGGATCCGCCACGGCGGCGGAGGAGGCTCGCGAAGATATTTTTATGAAAAATTCAGCTCGCACGTTTGTGGCGAGGAATTTTTAACGAGCGACGCGGCAAAAAGTTTGCTTCGAATTGGAAATTCCGACTGCATTAGCAAACTTTCGTGTTCGGGATGCGCGCGCCCAGAACGGTCCGGTTATTATACGCTAAGAGAGCATAGTGCGCGCGCGAACAGTCAAGAACGCTTTAAAGAAGAGAAGAAAAAGTAAAAAGAAAGGGGGGAAGAGAGAGAGGAAATAACGTCGGAGACATTACTCGACCCAGTTTCTTGCCCCTAGTAGTCGGATCGCGCTTGTCCCGCGTTTCTACGTAAATGGCCCTCTCTTAAAACGGCCTGGCAATCAAATACGTATAAATTGACCATCTTCCGTATCTCTGGACGCAGATTTTTACGACACACGGACGATCACGCTCGCGCGCAAAGTGACGCTCGCTTATGCTTATACATTTGAGAGAAAGAATTGTAATACGAGAATTTTCGCGCACATTACAGTTTCACGATTATTATATACATATGTGTTCGAGATTACTTACGTGCGCGTTTCTCGCACACGTATATATGTGGATCTTATTTCTTTCGCCAAATGTGGCTGTCAATTTATTCAACTGTCTCAATTTATTCAAGAGAAAGAAGCCAATAATAATTATCTACGTGAAACGACGACAATAAAAGATCCGTTTAATTATCCGGACAGAAATTATCGATTCAAACCGGCTATTTGCACTTGAATTAATCAGATAACGAGTCACAAAGGTGGACTTATTTCCGGATATTGAATAATTAGTGCGCAGCATGGAAACATTCCTTACATCCAAACCGCGTATACGCGGAAATTCGCCGAATGAACAAAGAACCGGCATTAAGGGGAAACAATTTCTCTATATAAAAGAAGAGAGAGAGAGAGAAAAAGAGAATCTCCCGATATTATTTCACTTTGCAACGCTTCGACGTCGCTTGATTCTTTTTACAGTAGCACCGAAAGAGTTATCTTCTTTGACGACAAACATATAAGAATGATCAGTCGATCCAGAGAGAAAGAGAGAGAGAGAAAGAAAATGAAATATAATACAATTTAATTGACCGATGACAGACTATGGAGTTACACGATGAACGTTTTCCCCAAAGCTTTGACATAACTGAACGCGCTAAATATTCCGTTTGAATAAATAATCGCACCTCGCGAATCGATTTACTCCGACAACGCGGCGCCTGCCGAAAGACGGACTCTAAAAATTGAAAAAAAGATCAAATTCGGCTGTAATTGAATTTTTTGTTTTGCATCCCGATTAAAGATGCTTATTTTGAAAATATTGTAGTATTCGTAAAGATGCAAAAGTAATTTATAACAAGTGACTTCCGCAAAACTTTCTCCACATATTCGCAGTACAATATATTTTCGAAGAATTATGACGAATTAGTGAGCGTGATTCAATTTATACAGATTATTTTACGAAAATACCGTATTTATGCACTGTACATTGTATTGCATTGAAGTGGATATAACGCTTGAGAGAGAATTATATGTCCCAGGACGATAATAAACATCTATCTATCTCTATTTGCGTATCTATCTATACTAATTAAGTTAAGTTTGTATTAAACAAAATTAATAACAATTGTCCCTTTAGCCTAGTTACAATACGAAAATGGAAATCCATATGGAAACATGCAAAATCCGGAAACGTTTGGTTTTTTTTTTTTTTTTTATTAATGGGCATTAAAAATGCCCATGAAATGTCCCATTAAGTTAATTACGTGTCCGTACATATGTACAATGCGCGCGGATGCGCATTTTTCGTGCACGCGTTCACGAGCGTGTCATCATCATCTCTCGCTCGGCCGCGACAATGAACGCGAAATCGTTCTCCGATGCGCGTCGTCGTTGTTGGCGAAAAGAGGAGAGCATAATGATACTAAATTTCCCGTGACAAACGACGCGACCACTCCAACGGAATACCGGCGGTACCATTTTTAAAGCTCACGCTCCGCTAAAAACGCTCGCGGGACACGCTCGAAGGCGCATCGTATATGCTACATCGTACGTGTTACATCGATGTGTACGTGCGCGTGTATACGTATTCTGTAAACGTGTACACTCGTCATGCGTGTGTACACGTGTATATACCTACAAAGGGCACATACACGCGCGACGAAAGCGGCGAGCGTGTCACAAGCCAAAATCTCTCGCGTATTAAATTCGAGTCTCGTGGGCTTGACAGTCGCCGGTCATTTAGAGAGTGGTCCGAGGCTCTTGAGTGCCGCCTTACGGCACTAACATTGGCAACGCCGATCTCGTCCGCCACCCCCTAATCCTCCACAGAGAAGGACATAGGTTCCTTTACCCTCTCTTTGGTCTCACCCTTTCTCTGTCTCTCTCTCGCTCGCTCTCGCTTTTCCTCCCCATCCTAGCAGCGGGTCAAGCTCCGCGCGATCAGCATCGAGCCGCACCACATCGTGTAGCACCATGTAGCACCAGCGTGCCTTGTACACACGCGATGAGTCCACTTGAACGAATACCTTACGACGCAACGGAGAAGGCAGCTGCTCGTCTTTTCTCTCGAGGACGAGAGAAAAGCGCGAGGACACACAGTCGCCGTTTACAACGGACTATACAAGAAGATGAACATGCACGCCCGAGTGTATATAGGGTGTCATGTGATACGCGGCAGAAAGTACCTCTGAAACTGGTTCGAGAAAAATAAGAAAGCGTATCCAGGGTTCAACGTACTATTAGTTATTGTCAAAAATTGCTGCGAATGTCTTTCGACGTGCATACAAATATGAATCTACTTTCTGATTCGAAAATTATATACTATCTTATCAATATTTCATATTATGCCGTTCGCCACCCTATATAGCTCAGAGGGGCGATCGGGGACAAAGGAATATAGAGATGGAAAGACGAAGGGACGGTTTTTTCCATTTGATCGATCCTTCAAGTTTGATTTTCGGGATGAACATTCGGCTCCGAAACTACCGGTGATTGTGTGAGCAGACTTTAATCCCAGAAAGCCCGAAAAAAATTGTAGGCGCTTTAGTTTTACATAGAACACATAGTGCAAACTACTTTTATCATTTTCCGTCAGGTCACCAGTTTTTATCGTAAAAAATCTTTTAAACTATTTTTCTATATCATAAAATTATTAACTTTTATTAGTTTTGTTTCATTGAAATTTTATTAAAATTGTATTTTATCTAATAAAATTATATTAAAATTTATCAGATAAAATATAATTTTAATAAAATTTAATATATGAGGAAAAAACAAATATAAGAAAAGTACTGAAATTAATCAAAAACAATTAACACAAAAGAAGAAAAAAAAACGCAAATTAAAATAAATAAATATATATGACTGAATAAATGCAGCATCTGTTACGCAAGTATTTAAATGTTAATTGTAATTATATAATGTTACATATCATTGTAACCATTACAGTAACTAATAGTAGCATTATTAACAGAAACGCAAGCGTAAAGTCGAAATTGTATAGTTCTAGAAATAAGTATGCGCACATAGTTGAAAAGTAAACGGAATTTCATACGTCATATCAGAATCTCGCACATCACTTGAAAGCAAATTCCAAAGTGCGCAGAGCTGCACAAAAGCTTTCTTGATATGCTACGGCGAAATGCGAGCGATTGTATAGGTTTCGTGGATTGGACCTTGAGTCCTTGTTAGCAGTGGTTCTAAATTGAAATTCCTCGGACAGATAAGGGGAACCTCCCGTCGAGATACTGAATGTTCCACATCGGTGCTATCCTACGGAAACAACGCACCCGCAGTCGCAGGAAGTA